TGCCATGGCATCATAGCTCACAGCAACCTCAAACTCTTGAGCTCAAGCTATTCTCTTGCCTCAGTCTCCCAAGTAGCTGGGACTACAGGCATCTGCTGCAATGCTTGGCTATTTTTAGAGGAGGTCTCACTCTGGCTCAGGCTGGTCTCAAACCTGTGAGCTCAGGCAATCCACCTGCCTAGACCTCCCAAGTGTTAGGATTACAGGCGTGAGCCACCGTGCTCAGCCCTGCCATCTGTAATCATGGTAAAAATAATAATCACTCAAATATACTAGGTCTATATCATAAGCCAAGTGTGATGCACTTTTCACATTGAATAATCGAAAGAATCCTATTAATAGAGAAACTTTTAGAATCCCTATTAATATAAATGTGAAAATGAGGCCCAGAAAGGTATAGATTCTGGCCCAAGGCTGAACAGCAAGCAGAGCCAGAATATGAAGACAGACTGTGTGAGTCCAGAGACTTTGCTGTAAGCACTAAGCTGAAGTAGCTATTACTGGGAAGTAATCCTCTTCTGCCTTCCCAGATCTAGGAGGACTTGTTGTTCCTCAGGAAGTCTCTTGATCTGTTTTGGCCTTAGTAGAACATTTTGAAGGCTTACAGGCTTACACTGTGTCCTGGCCTATTCTTGGAATTTCATGTGGATTTTCTCCTAAAATTCTCTAAGTGACTCTAGGAGGTATTACATTTACCCCATTTTACAGGTGAGAAAAGGTGAGGCTCTAAGGTTGCAAACAATGTAATGGGGACAATGATCAATTTTTTTTTAATTGTACCATTGAAATGCTAGAATCCCTGTAAGGAGCTGGAGGGGACTTGGGGTCAGAATGCCTAAGTCTTAGAAACTGACCTTGCAGTCCCATCTTCTCAGGCTCCTCCAGGGCTAAGCTGAAGATCAGCATGTGTCTGGCCACAGCTTCCAGATTATTCTCCAGCACATAAAACTAGAAGGATGGACAGAGCAAAATGATTCTGAGACCCTAGGAGACCCAAGAGAATGGGCCCTCAGCCCCCTGCTTCCACTAACCGAGCAGCTCTATACATTAGCCCCCTCCTTCAAACACAGGAGCCTAAGTCCCCAGAACCCTCATCATTTCTCAGAAGACCTAAGATGCATAACTCCAGTTTCCCAGCACCACCTCCCTCAAACCTAGCATTCTCCAGTCCCTTCTTTCCTGGACCCAGGATTTTAGAATTCCAGTCTCCTCCTCCTTCAAGAACTCGGGGGTCTGGGTCTTTCATCTTCCTTCCACGACCCCGGTGTATTAGCTCACATTGAACCTCCTGCGGGGCCAGAGCGCTGCCCCAGCCAGAGTCTGCAGCAGGTGCCGCCCATCCACGGAGCCCAGCAGCAGGACATCTAGCTCGGGGATCCTGTTCTCTGTATCTGCCTTTGAGTCCGGGTCCACAGGAGGACCTGGCAAGACCAGAACCGGCAGAAGCTGGTGAGCGTCCCAACATACCCAGAAACCCCTCCTAAAACGGTGGACTACAAATCCCAGCAGGCCTCGCACTCCCGGCCGGAGTTCTAAAGGGAACTGTGCCTCTAAGCATTCTGGGATTCGTAGTCCGTACCTAGGACCCTGGGACTGCTCATGGGAGAGCCCGCTTCGCCGTTGGGGCATTGAGAACGTTAGCGTCCTGCCATGGACGCCGGGACTCCAAGTGCTAAAAGGCCATCTAGACAGGCTGTGAAAGCAGCCAATGCATCAGACCGCGCATGCTAGAACTCACTTTCAGCCTGCAGGTCTAGCGCTGGGGACAGTCCCCACCAGGACACTGAGCCGAAGCCTGTGCCAGTGCCTGCCGGTGTGGTCATCGCCCTGCAAGAAAGACATGCCACAAATCCTCACACGTTGTTCACGCCAATTCCCTCTCACTACTCCTCACTGTTCGCCCTTTTCCCTTCACGTGAAGCCGCACTCACCTTTATCCTTCGAAATATCCCGGGACGCTCCTCTCTTGCTCTGTGCGGCGCTTCTGTCCGGAGCTCCTGAGCAACTGCTGCCCAGAGCGCTAGTCCTGTGTCCTATCATTCGGCCAATGGGAGCATCTGGGCTTGCCCCTCCGGTATCAACTGACCAATGACAGTGATCAGAAACTTTTGACCAATGGGAGCGCGAGGGCTGGCTCCCCCCGCAACCCCCACAAAGATGTTTGGACGCGGTTTTCATGACAACGGCTCTGCAGGAGCAGGGCGGAAGCTGCAAGAAACTGGGGCGGAGTCCGGGTGTGGGATGCTGGCGTCCTGAGCGGATTCAAATTTAGAGAGAAAGAAACGGAATCTAAGCCTAAGGTGACCAGACGTCCCGCTTTTGGCAGGACAGTCCCGATTTTTAACAATTTGTCCCGCGTCCCGCAGAGTTTTAAAAAAGTCCCGATTTTTGGAAAGAATGCAAGAACAGAGGGAGAATAGAAAGGGAATATATGGTTTTCGGCTGCTGAAAAGGTTAATGTGATTCCATTTGGGAATGAAGAGGTTAATGTAACGTCATTTGGAAATGAAAAGGCTAATGTAAATTCCCTACTCCCCTCCTGGGCAAAGTCGCCCGGGTGGAATCAGTATCAAAAGGAGACCGGCTCCCTCCCTTGCTTCTAGGCAAGGACAATTACCTCAGAAGCAGCCAAATTGTCTGGAACAAACAGTAGCCCCCTTCCCCCACGCCCAGAGTAAGGTGACCAGACGTCCCGCTTTTGGCGAGACAGTCCTGATTTTTAACAATTTGTCCCACGTCCTGCGGTGTTTTTAAAAAGTCCCGATTTTTGGAAAGAATGCAGGACAAGCTGGGGAACGTAGGAGAACAGGAAGGGAATATAGGGTTTTCAGCCGCCATGTGGCTATTTTGCCAGGATATGAGTTTTATATTATTTTTGCTAATTTTATAATGTTAAACTTTAATAATAACAAATAATTGTTGAGAAATGATTATTGAGAACTGCTTATCAAAGTTTGCATTGTTGTCAGGCCCCGCCCCCCACCCCGCCCCCATCAGTGGTGTCCCGCTTTACCAATGTTAAAATCTGGTCACCTTATCTAAGCCTGGTGCTGTGGCGGGCGCCTGTAGTCCCAGCTACTCGGGAGGCTGAGTCCAAGAGTTTGAGGTTGCTGCGAGCTGTGACGCCACAGCACTCTATAAGAGTGACATAGTGAGACTATGTCTCAAGAAAAAGAAAGAAAAAAAGAAATGAAATCTTGATAAATCCAAATTAAACTGAGGTGGCCTAGACTTTTCCTCCCTCACACCTTGCGCTCTACTCTCAGATTTTCTCACCAGGTGGGAAACAAAGTGCCATGTCGCCAGGCGTGATCAAGGCACCTGGTCGCTAAATTTTTAGAGATTTTTGAGCTTGTTATTGAGCACAACCATTATTAGAAATTGAATTCTGTAATCTTCGAATTAAATACATTACATTGGCTCGGCGCCTGTGGCTCAAGCGGCTAAGGCGCCAGCCACATACACCTAAGGTGGCGGGTTCGAATCCCCAGCCCGGGCCGCCAAACAACAACAATGATGGCTGCAACCAAACAAATGGCCAGGCGTTGTGGCGGGTGCCTGTAGTCCCAGCTACTTGGGAGGCTGAGGCAGGAGACTCGCTTGAGCCCAGGAGTTGGAGGTTGCTGTGAGTGTGATGCCATGGCACTCTACCCAGGGGGATAGCTTGAGGCTCTGTCTCAAAAAAAAAAAAAAAAATTCATTACATTAAAATAAGGGTAAAGCAGGCAGTGCCTGTGGCTCAATGAGTAGGTTGCCAGCCCCAATACTGAGGTGGCAGGTTCAAACTCAGCCCCGGACAAACTACAACAAAAAAATACCCGGGTGTTGTGGAGGGCACCTGTAGTCCCAGCTACTCCAAAGACTGAGGCAAGAAAATTGCCTAAGCCCAAGAGCTGGAGATTGTTGTGAGCTGTGATGCCACAGCACCTACCAAGGGTGACAAAGTGAGACTCTGTCTCTAAAAATAAAATAAAATAAATGGCCCGGCGCCTGTGGCTCAAGTGGCTATGCTGCCAGCCACATACACCTAAGGTGGCAGATTCGAATCCAGTCCGGACCCGCCAAACAACAATGATGGCTGCAACCAAAAAAATAGCCAGGCGTTGTGAACGCAAGTGATTCTCTTCCTTCAGCCTCCCAAGTAGCTGGCATTACAGGTGCCCGCCACAACACCTTACTATTTTTTTTGTTACAGTTGTCATTGTTGTTTTAGCAGGCCAGGGACAGGTTCAAACCTGCCAGCCTCAGTGTGTGTGGCCAGCACCCTACCCACTGAACTATGGGCACCACCCAAATTTCTTGGTTTTTTTAATTTTTATTTATTTATTTATTTTGGAGACAGTCTCACTCTGTTGCTCCAGGCTAGAGTGCTGTGAAGTCTCCTAGCTCACAGCAACCTCAAACTCTTTTTTTATTTATTCATTTATTTATGTATTTTATTTATTTATTTATATATTTATGTATTTATCAAGCTATAGCCCTTGGTAGAATGCCGTGGTGTCACAGCTCACAACAATCTCAAACTCTTGGGCTTAAGTGATTCTCTTATCTCACCCTCTCCAGTAGCTGGGACTACAGGCACCTGCCATACCACCTGGCTATTTTTTTGTTGCAGTTGTCATCTTTGTTTTAGCTGGCCTGGCCGGGTTCTACCCAGCAGCCTCGGTGTATGTGGCTGGCGCCCTACCCAGAGCTACCGGCGCTGCCCAACCTCAAACTCTTGAGTTCAAGCCATCCTCCTGCCTCAGCCTCCCCAGTAGCCAGGATTACAGGCACCTGCCATGACACTCAGTTATTTTCTTTTTCTATTTTTAGAAAAGACAGGGTCTCACTCTTGCTCAGGCTCTTCTAAATTTCTGAGCTCAAGGGATCCTCCTGCTTTGGCCTCCAAGAGTGCTAGGTTTACAGGTGTGAGCGACTGCACCCAGCTTGTGTTTAATTAAAATTTTTGTGTCTGGCTTCGCTTATTTGGATTAACAGTTTAAAGATTCATACACATACATGTTGAATAATGAATCAGTGGTTCCTTTTGTCTTTACACCTAAATAATATTCTACTATATTTCTCCATTACCTCTGCAAGCTTCATTTCTTCTTGTCATTCAAATCATAGCCCAAACCTCACCTCCTTAGGATGGCTGTCCCTGATTTCCCTTTCTAAATTATCTCAGCCCTTCCTGATTTTCTTCCAAGAATGGATTGCCATTTGTAATGCTTTCAGAATTAATAATAAGGGCAGCACCTGTGGCTCAGTGAGTAGGGCGCCAGCCCCATATACCGAGGGTGGTGGGTTCAAACCCAGCCCCAGCCAAACTGCAACAAAAAATAGCCGGGCATTGTGGCAGGTGCCTGTAGTCTCAGCTACTTGGGAGGCTAAGGCAAGAGAATCACCTAAGCCCAAGAACTGGAGATTGCTGTGAGCTGTGATGCTACAGCACTCTATCAAGGGCAATAAAGTGAGACTCTGTCTCTAAAAAAAAAAAAAAAAGAAGAAGAAGAAGAATTTCCTATGCTTTCTTGTTGAGACAGGGAACCAGGGACCCCAATGTTATCATCTAAGTCAGAACAGGTTCAATCCCAGTGTTGCAGGAAGACGAGGCCCAATAGAGAGAAAGAGCACCCAAATACCAAATTTACAAGAGGAAGGGCTTTATTCACCAGTGAGGAGGTTATGGCATAGAAGAATTCCAAATGGCCATGATCCTGGACTGACTTGGTCTGTCCCTTTGTTTTTTTGCAGTTTGAACCCACCACCTCCGGCATATGGGGCCAGCACCCTACTCCTTTGAGCTACAGGTGCCACCCGGTCTGTCCCTTTTTATTGATAGTCAAAAAGTTCCACCCCACAGGTACCCTTCTTATTGGCAGTTCGAATCAAGTGGGAGATGTTATCCCAGCCCCTACAGAACTACAAGATTTCACAGAACTTGGAAATTTCCAAGTTCCAGGACAGTTAAGTTTACAAATTCCCAAGAGCTAAGTCACCATGGAGAGGATCCTGCAGATGTATCCTTGTGGTCTCCTTGAGAAAACTTGTTCTCCTAGACTTCACCCTTCTCGGGTATTCTCTCTCACCAGGATTTAGAGAAAGACTTCCTGACTGTGTGATTCTGAGCAAATCAGATAAATACTATAAAGCATAGTTTCTTCATTTGTTAACTGGAAATAGTGACCATGTGTATTTCATGAGGTTGCTGTGAGGGTTATTATTGGCAGTAGTAACAATAATAGTATTAATATAACACATAGTGCTGTCTTCAAAAGACCACACACACACATATATACATACATGAGAAATTACTGTATTCATTTGCAGAAAATTTAAAAATCTCCAGGACATCATAATCTGTGCAACTCTTCTGATTTCCCTTTTCCTATTGAATACTAGGAAGTTCACAGGCAAGTTTGTTCTGGCTTTGCTCCATTTTTTTAGCACATAGGGAAACCTGGACTCATTCTCCACTTATTCTGATGCTCAGAGAGCTCCTTTGCCAAATTTTACAGACCTTTGACTACCACCCCAAATCCTGTCTGAGACAAGATAAGGGAGAAACCAATGGAACAATTATCTTTGCTAGAAACAGACTGGGAGGCAGGACTCATTGAAAGAATGAGGTAAAGTTGGAAGTTGGAAGGTAAAGTTGGCTTTCCCTGCTTAACTTTGCCCTTTCTTCTCAGCTTTGGATATCTACTTTATCCTCCCCCACCCCTTTTTTTTTTAAAGACGGAGTCTCACTGTGGCCTCTGGCTCAAGTGATCCTCTTGCCTCAGTTATTCTATTTTTAGTAGAGACGGGGGGAGGGGGGTCTCATTATTGCTCAGGCCTGTCTTGAACTCCTGAGCTCAAGCAATCCACTTGCCTCAGCCTTCCAGATCACAGGTGTGAGCCACCACCTGGCTCTACTTTGTTTCCTTGAGGATAGTAAGTCACTTGGAGTTAAGGTTTGTGTTTGCATCTACACTATGTCCCCAGCCATCTAACAGAAGACCTTAGGAAACATGAAAAAG